AGTCTGTGGCCTGACGCTGGATGACTCACTCTTCTATTTACGTAACCTATATCTAGTAATGCACTTTGTTTTGCAAAAAGTGAAACTCATTTTTGAGAGCTCTCTTTTTGGTAGTTTGTCGAGCTTTTAAAAAGGATTGTAACTACATCTTTCGAGTTTTCCGGCCAAGTCGAATAAAAAAGTTATTTAGGTTACATTGAATGGTGTAAGGATCACATGCAAGGAGGACGATATGTGGATAATGGCGTTGCTCGCCTAGTGATAATAATTTAGGCGTTTTATTCGTGAAACGATATTTATTTGTTTACTTTTTCTGCTGCTGGATGTAACGGTGCTCTTTCGCCAGAGAGAAACTCAGTTCCTGGCTTCTGTTCTAGAACAGTACAGAACATATTAATTTATGTTTAAAGCAGCGTTGTTATCATGCCCTCAACTGAAATACAGTGTATTGTGTGTAGAAAAGTTGACCGCGACTCAAAGATCAAGTACATAACAATCAACTCTGATGGTAGCGAAAAAAAACTTCGACACGGCTATCGACTGAGATTTCAGCGAGATCTGCCGTCTCACACACTTCTGCGTCAAAAAGTACACAGAACATGCTACATCCGCCTCACGAGGAAACTGCCACCGATACCAATAACAAAGAGGAATAAGTTTCAAAAACGACTATGTCATCCATTTTGTACGTCTACTCCATTATTACACATACTGAGATTATCTCCGCTTCCAGTCGATGACGCAGATATTAAGCCTGAAAATGAAGAACACGCTAGCCAGGTAAGCCATATTTTTGAATGAAATTAAAAACTTACCTTGGATTAGTGTTCTAGATTTTCTCAGGAAGAAAATTCTCTTTTCTTCCATCAAGCTGCTCTGATAGTGATGGAAATGAACATCCGATTTCTACAAAATTTCGCGGCAGTTCAAAAGCCAGTCGTCGTCCACTTTCTGATCTCACGAACCAGATGCCATTAATCTCGTTAAGGAAAACGCAACCAACAAAAACCGCAAACGGCTCAACTATCACAATTACTTGTTCATCGGATCAAATTCTGAAAACAAGACACACGTCATATAGTAATTTGTCCACTCTCGAACATCAAGAGTCGGTAGAATTGCACATGCCTCGGCTAGTGCGTGATGTGGTGGATATGACTTCCGTGAATAATAAAGCTTCCGCTCTCTCTTCATCTTTATTTGATTTATCACCAACTCAACCATCCATTCCTGAATTAGTGATGCTCGCAACAGATAATACAACGTCAAGAGCAACAAAAACATTTTCCCTATCTATTGGAAACAAAAATGTGTCAACTGAGGTATGAGAAAGAATAACAACGTAAGATTTATAAATTCTTATTTTCTTTTTCAGCCGTCGTTTAATTCAGGAAAAAGACGTTCAGTTTTTGATGATGAAACACTTAACTCAGATATTGTTTCTGAGGAGTACAATTCACCGTGTGAACAACTATTAGAAACCTCAAACATGTTTGAAATAGGAACGACAATAAATACATCTAAAGCAATCACAGTTCCATATAAAAAGCCATCGATTCTTGACAGTGTCCGAAGAAATAGAAAGGTATCTCGGTAAAGCACTAGAAAACTATAGTTTATTAAATAAAATTTGTTATTCTGTTCTAGATATTTTCCAGTAGCACAAAAAAAAGAAGAACATCTTCAGCCGCTGCTCCTATTCCTCGTCGATCAAATAGAAAAAGACCGTCATCAACATGTGATGTTTTACCTATTGATGAAGAAGGATCACACCTCTACGAGAACGGATTCGAAGAACTCACTGGCTGGCTTATTGATCTCTTGAGAAAAGGCGTGCTCGTTTTAATGACTGACGTTAAAACTCAATATGCTGTTATTTTACATCGTCGCAATGAGCTCGTTTCAGATGCAGTTCTCCGTGTTGATTCTATTCGTTCACGTCTCACTACAAGATTTGGAAATAAATTATTTTTCACAAAGTTAAACAAGCGAAGTGGAACCTATGTGGCTATTAATGATCTATCGTTGTATACAAAAGTAGCTTTGTCGTCATCTTTGCATTATTATAATAACAATTCAATTAAAATTTATGAAACACAGGCCGACGAGAAGGAAAAGCATAAACAATGTGAATTAATATTTGATTCAATTAAACTTCTTCGTCGTTCCATCAACGAAAATTTACATTATTTTAAACATCTTAGAAAAAGTCGATCAACACTCGCCGACTTCAATTCAACCATGTTTTGGGAATGTGTTCCGCTGTTGTTGAAGAATTTTATTGGTTTTCTCACATCAAGTGAACAACAATTTAGTGAAATAAAACGAAATTATCAATTTTACGATTCTTGGGTAAAAGTTCAGATTTCTTGAGAGGTTTCAAAGGCAGACTTTTGCCTAAATTTTCTACCTGGAAAGTAGTAGATCACCAAAACACTGTTTCAATANTTCTTGGGTAAAAGTTCAGATTTCTTGAGAGGTTTCAAAGGCAGACTTTTGCCTAAATTTTCTACCTGGAAAGTAGTAGATCACCAAAACACTGTTTCAATAAAATGCATAGTTTTCAATCTATGTTGGTTTCCTTGTAAAGCTGCTTTCCCTATCTAAAAAAATTCTTTTTCTTCTTTTACTTGAGAAAACCTTTAGCATGACAGGCTCGAAGATGAAGACAAGTTTTAAATAGGATAGAAATGGTTTGTGAAATAGTTTTTGAATGGGATTATTTGAAAGTATTTGAGATATGTTTGTTTATAAATTTTTAGGCATTCTATGGAAAAGTTCTTCGTTGTTTTTGCTTTTGATACTCTTTAAAAATCATGATATTTTTCGAAATTTTCCTAATTTTATAAGAAAAAGATTGAGTTTTTCAGAGTCTACCTCCTTCTCTCATTCGTTCTTTGTCGTTCTTTATGTTTATCTTTTCTTATTTCATAATCCTTCATTTTTTAGTGCTTGAAAAAGAAATATTTGGAAAATCGGATAATTGGCTTAAAATTGCATCCGTTTCATATGATATTATCAACTGCAAAAATGAGCGTCTCATCACTCCGAAACACTACTTATTAGCCAACGAAATATTTCGTCATGAGAGAAGTGCTCAATTACTTTCAATCACAAACAGACTGGGTCATACATGTGGTTATAAAACTATCTTACGTCTACAACATGAAGCTGCGGAAAAATCAAAAGCTGCCTTCAGTTCTCTTTCAATTATCAATCGTCAGCGTAATCAACAATATCGTCATGATTTTGCAGTGATTGTCGCAGACAATTTTGACATGAATAAAGAGACTGTACATGGTGAAAACAGCCTGCACATTCTCAATCAAATCATTGTGCAAACGCCTGAAAATGATGAAATACTATTTATCGTCACCGAACTTTTAACAGAGATAACAGATCAAATCTCACAGACGGTACAATTGCTCGCTCAGTCTCTAGCTAGCGAAGCGGTGAGCCCTGTCATCTCTCAGTTGCCAACTATCCACTCGAATTACGATCCGTTTATTGATACTTCACTAGACATGAAACTACTTGGTTATTCAATATCGAAGTATTTTGAACAACAAATGAAAACATCCGATCCATCATCTCCTACTAATCTTCCACTTCTCTCCGGTTTTTTCGCCAGTTTTCTTCATTTTGATAAACGTCCTGTGCACTCAATTACCTTTTGCACTCCAATAAACGATAATCCAAGTTTAATATCAGCTGCAGAGTCGTGTTTACGCTCTACAAAAGCCGAACTACTTGACAAGAATTACCAAAAAGAAGCTATTATAGTAGTCGATGAGAAGATATACAAAAACTGCACAAAGGTAAGCTTTTTCTTTCCTTCTCAGTTCGCCCTGAGCCACTTTACTTTTGTGTTTAGGTTAGGCGTGAAACAATGTTCGAGTATCATCATATCACCATTTATCCAGGTGATTTTCATTTAATGAAGACAACGATGATTGTGATTTGGGACGTTCTGGACGGATCGGGTATCGAGGACGTCATTGGTCTGCTGTACAAAGGGGCGTCTCTTCAATCGATCATGAACGCTCATCACTTCAATAAATCTCTACGAGCATGCAAGCTGTTGTTCACTGCTTTATCAGTTTTATTCATCGATTCATATTCAATGGCATGTGTTAATTCAAAAACAACCACAACATTTACTCTTCTAGAGAAAATAAAGCCGATCATTGACGCTATTCTTCTGAATCAAGCAGACGAAAAATCACGCAAAAACTACTTCGAAAATCTACTGGATAAGATTGCTCAGGTAGAATTGCCCTCCGCACTTTACAAATGGGCGGTTGACTCAGGTCAACAGAGCATCTCATTTAAATTCTGGTGGTTTGTCCTTCATCACTTGCTCGAGCCACTTCTCACGATCTACATGTCAATAAGAACAGCAAACTTTAAAGCAAGAAATGCTTGTGTATCTCGAATTGCTCCACTTATGTTTGCTAATAATCATAGAAACTACGCCAGGCTGTGTGCCGAGCATTTGGTAGATCTTCATTCAAGTTCTCCTTATCTTCTTGAACGACTCTCCAGAGCATTTGCAGTCAATCGTACACAACGTCCATTTTCCAGTGAGTATCTTAATTGTACATAGCAGAGTCACGTGCTTGTCATTTTTTAGGTATTGCGCTTGATCAAAGCATTGAGTGTTCCATAAACAAGCTGGGCAAGGGTCATGGCGGAATTAGTGGAAAATTTCATGAATCAACAATAGACAATTGGATAAATTCGTTCTCGTATCGTGCGCTACTCACATCTGTGCTCCATGAAATTTGTGGGTTAGAGACAACAAACAACAACTTAAACTCACATCTTGAATGTACGCCCACTCGTCAAGCAATTGATGAAACAGATTTAGCGATTTTATTGAAAGTATTAAAAAGCGAACATTTATTTTCTCCATCATCCTCTCACGCTCGAAAACTCCTATCAGGCAAAATTATACACGAAGATATTATTTTGAATATCTGTACTTCATTTGATCGTGGTCAAGAAGCATTGTCAACTTATATCAAAGAGCGATTAATCGATAAAACAGTCAGGTTTGAAGAGCCATTAAAAGCAATGTTGAGGCTAAGTGAGTTGTTTGTTTTTATTTTTCTACCGGAACCTTTAACACACGTTCGCTTAAAAAAGTTCAATTTTTTTTCTATCATGTTTTGTGAAAGAATTTTCAAAGAAGTCGTTTTTGCCAAAAAAAAGCCATGTTTTGCTATTTTTTCAATTTTTCCTCATAAATTTTGGTTTTACACTTCCATTTTTCGCGAAAAGTTTTGATTTTCCTATTTGAAAAAGTGATTTGGATTCCAGCTCCGCACAGTTCTCTACTTCTTTGATTTTTTTAGAATTACGAGATACCGATTTTTACATTCCCGGTGATCCTACTTCGGTCAAAAAACGTGCCAAAAATGACAACACTAAAGATTTAACCAAAACTATCAAGTATGTTGATGAAGAAATGAGACGCGTTATTATTATTGCTGAGCAACGGGGGCTTTCACTGCCATCTTTATTTGCCCATGAATTCACTCGAGCTCCGCTGGCCTTGTGTGACAATCAGAATTGTGATCTGATGAATCAGCAAAAAAAATCTGCTGCTATTGATTATTTAAAACAGCAGTTTCCGTCATCATTCTCATCATCTTGTCCAACATTAAAAGGTAAATCAGCTTTAGTCATCGATGGTGGAAGTTTACTTGAAATTAGACCAAAAACAAGAAACATGACCGTTCGACAGTATGCTGAACAACTGCTCACCACTGTCATCAACCGTCAGTTTCAACAGTATGATAGAATTGACGTCGTTTTCGATTCCAGCGAGAGCAAGTTAGTGAAAGCATTTACCAGGAGACATGGCAACGATCTCGATACGTCAAGTTACGACTTACAAATTGATGATCGCCTAGAAGCATCCTATCATAAAGTGCGTACTAGGCAAAAATTAATAAACGGCTTTCACAATCTCCTTTTTTGAATGTTTTAGTTCCTTCACAAAAACCGTGCTATTGTAGCTGCACGTGTACGTGATTGTTGGGCTAAACCTGCATTGGTAGAATTGCTCCCAGAAGGCAAACTTCTGGTAGCGGCAGGGCCAGATGAATATGCAATCAAGCTGAAAAAGAATTCTTCATCAGAACAAGATTGGCTTTTACAGTCTGACCACGTAGAGGCCGACACTCGTCTGCTTCTTCATACCAATGTTATCATGATTGACGAATATAAAAGTGTAGTTATTGCAGCAACCGACACTGATGTTATCCTATTATCGATCGCACATGCATTGACTATACAGCTCGAAAATGTCATTATCAAATCATTCAACAGCACAACTAAAACTGACACATTTATTAATAGTATGGAAATAGCTAAAAAGCTAAAACATTTTTCAATTGATCCAATCATTTTGATTGTTCTCCATGCGCTCTCCGGATCCGACTCTACGTCATTCATCAAAAATATTACTAAAGTTAAATTTTTTCGTACATTTTTCAACAACTGGCAACGTTTTACACATTTGAGCGACTTTCTCAAAACACCATTATCAAAAGAAGCGATCATAGATGCTGAAAAACTACTCCTTACTACTTATTCGACAACAACCAATGCAATTACCCTCGATCATTTACGTGCAACAATGGCGGTACAGTCATTCAAAGAAAAACGGAAAAGCATTGTATTGAATTTACCACCAACGTCAAATTCTTTTACTCTCCATTGTCTTCGAGCTGCCAGACAAATTAAGATCTGGGGAAATGCATTAGAACCATATTTACATATACAATCACCAAATGAATTAGATGGGTTTGAAACAGTAGATGATCAACTGAAAATCAAATGGATATCCAATTCAGAACATCCAGCAGATAAAAAACTTGTTACCTGTGGAAAATGCACCACTGGATGCAAAAACAGTCGTTGCAAATGTGGTTCACAAAATATTAATTGTACAATTTATTGCAAGTGTCCATCCGAATGCTGCAAAAATCAATCAAATCATCGAGTAAGTTATCTTCTTTACATTTAAGATACATAATTTTCAATTATATTCCTTTAGATGTCTCAACTTTCTCTTTATGCAACCCTCTCTCAAGAAGAAAGTGATGTTGACGACTTTGCTGACAGAGAAGAATCAAATTTAAGTGAAGAAGAGGGGCAATTGCATAGCTCCTGTAACTCTGTAAGTAACATGTTTCCTTTACATTTTAATATAATTTGTTCTATTTCCTGCAGAGCAATGTCACAGACTTTGAAAACGATGATCATATTCGCACACAATCTCACAATTTGGATATGTCAGTTCAAGCGGACAATGATATTGATGGTACATCTTTTGCTACAGAACATGTGGAACATAATTATTGCAGTACTTCCACAGAAGAAGAACAGGAAGAAGAACATCAGAAATGGTCAAGGATACCTTCCAAACCTGTAAGTCACAGGTAAACCAGTTTTCAATTGGCTACAAGCCTTCTAATATAGGTCACCAAGCAACGAAGTAGAAGAAGAAACATCTCCCAGTCACAACGTGTTACTCAACCTCGAACAACAACAAGAATAGTCGAAATAGACAATTTTCCTTTCGTAAGTATCAGAAGAGAGGAGCTTATTATTCCTAAATTGAATAACTTGTATTTTAGACGATTCCAATGTCTCCAATCAGTAACTGTCGCTCAACGATCGCCTCGCCATCACAACGTGTTCTTCGCCCTCGAATAAATGCGACAGAAGCCAGTCCAAATTACTCTAATTTTGTAAGTAGCGCAGGAAAAAACCATTTTTTTTTGTAAGTTTCCCATGAATTTCTTCTAGAAACTGCCGATTTCACCAGCAAACAGATCTAAATCAACAACGTCTACTCCAGTAACAAGACAATGTCGACAATCAATAAAATCAACAAAAAGAACAGTCTCGATCGTTAATGATGAGAATGCACTACCACAAAATCCCACCTCGGTAATCAAGGATCAATTTTTTCTCCCTTTTACTTATAGTCTTCCTTTTCAGAAGCTCGATACAGTAGAAAAGAATATTATCAGGAATCGATCCTACCGAAAATATGATATTTTCCAAGACGACGATGAACAGTTTTGAAAGGAATATGCATTTATTGGCACTTCCCAGTGATTAAACTATCAAGTATAGAAAAAACAGTTGTCAGTGATAATTTAGTTTTCATAATTCTCTATGATCTCAGTTATAATTTGTTGTCTTTAATCAATTTTCTACTATAAATAAATTACTCATTCTGCTGTATAACCTCATTTTTTTTGTATTTATTTTTGTGGACGGACAGTGCTTCTGAATAAAGAAAAATAAACAATGAGCCCATAAAAATCATTTGATATAGGAGCAATTCGGTTCTATTAATTGTACTCAAAGAACATGTAGGCACTTTAGTTTAGGCTCGAAAAAGGCTTCTCAGAACAAAGCATATTCTTTAAAAATTCGCCATTATCATTACTCGGTTCCATGACGGGCCTCTTCTCACATCTTTTTAGCGTCGTGAAACTCATTTTAAGCGGAAAAAACTTACATTCCCGGACAGAACATTTACTTTTCTATTTTACCGCGCTAGTTTTATCTTCCGGCCAAGCACTTTCGCAGATGTCGCCGCTGTTAGTGTATATGTAAATGATTGGCACTTTTCAATGCGAACCGTTTGGTCAGACCACAGAC